CAACCTTTTTCACGAACGAGTCTCTTATAAAAAAAACGAATTGCACGTGCGTGTTGCACGTATAGTAATCATCGCAGATGCTGCCGGCCACTTGAAAACGAAGTGGTCCGGTCCGCGAGCAAGTAAAACAGTTGCCGTTGGCCGTGAAATAATATCATCGAGAAAAAAGGCCGCACGCGCCATTGCTCTTCTATTGCGATGCTATAAGATAAATTGTAGCAGCATAAATAAATGCTTAAGTGTGTCGAAAAAAATTCAATTGACGAATAAATTATGCTATAATTTTTATTACTAATGATTTTATAACTTCTCTCTTTTTATATTACATTATTTATTGAAAAGCAGATCTATTCCCATAATACACGTATTTAATTATAATCTCAATAAACAATTACTTATATATTTTTATTTATATTTTTATATTTATTCTCAAAATATCACGATATATTTCACATACGCGAAATATACTTACAATTAGTTTTAATAGAAATCCATTTACCGCGAGGGTGATATTTCCTTTTCTCCCTTCTACATCCCCTTCGTCGTAAGTCGTCGAGGTCGAAGGAAAAACACTGCAGACTCCCAAAGGATCTGATCCCCGCGGAGAAACGAAATACCGATAAAAATCGCTACATTTTTTCCTGAAAACAAGGTCCAGCGGGGCAGGACAGATCCCTTCGACGTCAACCCCTGTGTGACAATCGTCCGCGCTCCATCGAGCGGGTGTCTCCTAACTGGGGTACCTGTAACCCCCGCAGTTTCGGCGGCCTAAAAACGTCCTTCCGGACGAACGCGCGCGCAGAATAGAAGTCCCTCGGTACGCGATAATGCGAGCACGTCAGCTCTCCCGCTCCGACGATTATGAACCGTTGTTCGAAGACGAATGTTAATCAGATTCTAATTCGTTCGCCCACGTTATCCGAGCGAATTAATGTGCGCGCATAAACAACCCGTAGGTCATTCGACGTGCGTCAAGTCGAAATTTCACCCTTTTAATTCGCAAAGCCTTTCATTTTCATTAGTAACTAATAGAGTTATAAATAGAATTATAATAGAATTATAAATTAAAGTAAATTTGTTGTGTTCCAACCGTATACAATATAATAAATGCTATTTGCCCTTTTTTTATTTTTACACAGACTATGACAATTATGACAACGAATATTGTTGATGGATTATGAAAACGTGACAGATGACACGCTATATTTTGAAAAGAAACGAAAATTCGGGTGCGAAGACACCCTTCAGGCAACTAATATAAAAAACTTCTCTGTTGCGATTTTCAGCGGAAAAAAGTAAATGAGTTCTGTGCAAAGCTGTAACTAAGCGGCAGCTGCGACGAGCGAAGCATGAAGAAAGCATGATCGAGATCACACTTCTGGAAGACTGCCCTAAGTCATGCTAATCGAAAGGAATATTGATCAGGTGTTTATCTGCCTACGTGTAAATCCCGTCTAGACATAATTAAAATAATATATTCAAGGCAATGTATTAAAATCGCTTTTGATAATCAAGATTAATTGACGGAAAATTGTGCGTGAGATAGCAATATTGAATTTTACTATCTTAAAGGTTTAGTTGGTTTTTTTGTTTAAACTTTCTTATGTTTCGTAAGACTAAGTATATTGAGAAGTTGAGGTCAATTTAAAAAAGGAAAATTTTAATGTCATTGCGCTTGGCGAAGGCATTTATATCGACTTCCACGAGAAATGTTAAAATTTCCATTTATAGCACTTATAGGTACTGCCCACCACGATTTTCCATGCGGCAAGGGTTAACAGAATAAACCGTCGCCATTCAACGTCGCCCATTATCTACCGGAGAAAACAAACTGGTCATCTCTCGTTGCGCGCATTATGTCCGGGCTGTCACGGTTGTAGAGGATTACACGTCGATTACGAGGCGCAATTTTAAACCCTCTCCCTCTTGCAGTCTGCGCTCACTCCGCGTTTCTCCGTCGCTCTCGCCTCGCGTCGCAACCCTTTGTGGGTTACTCTATGGTTTTACAATCAGTCACCCGTGCTGTGACACGACCGATGGGTCGTCATCTACGAAGGGGTTGCCTCGTTTCGGAAAGCGGATTACGCTCGTCTCTCGCTCGCGTTTCTCTTTTCACCAGTTCTCACTTCACACCGAGTCGAGTCTCGATACCGGCGGCGAACTCGACGGCTGCCGTTTCTCGGGTGATCGATGGACCCCGGGTTGAACCGATCGCGTATCTTCTTTCGACGATCGTGGATTCTCTCTTCCCTCGGCCAGTTATGGGTTTCGCACGTTTCTCGGCTCGCCATGGTGATTTTTACCCGTCATTGTTTACACGAAGCAATCCTTTCTTTTCCAGAAGGCGTGTCTGTCCAAAGGGGTGAAGTTTGACTTCTGAAAACGTAATAGCCACGAAAATGACACGCCGCGATTTTTATGAGGGACGTCGCATTTCTTTTGAGAATTTTGCGTGTTGGAACGTCACATTCATTGCATAATCTTATTATAATATAGAAAATTAACATGACACAAAGTTAGACACATACATTAAATGTATTTAGATATATATTCGTTAAATAGTTTAAAATTTAAATTGTTGTTTCGTTAATATGAAAAATAGCGTCGCAATTGGTTTCGTACCGTTACAAAAAACGATCACAATTTCTGGACATAGCTTCGCAAATCGCTGAGGTTTACTTTCGGACAAGACGTAATCTCTCGACACGTCCGGGAAATACTTGATGCGGAATACTCGGGGTGCCACGAAAGTTTCGTCGTCCCCCAACCTCTGCGCTCTGCAAAGGTGCCCCCGGCTTTTTTTCCCAGTATGAATGATGATGTATGGATGCTGGCTCTGGGCACCGGGGGCACGGTAAAGGGTTCCATTGTTGCGTCCTCCCCTGGAGAACGAACCCACTCTGCCCCGCAGGGGAGACCTTCGTGAAATATTACTGCCGAGCAACAAACTGCATTCTGCAGGCTGTATACTGTTAATTTTATGCCCGATTTTTTTGCCCACTCCATCTAACTCCACCCCTCCTCCTCACCTCGCAGCCCTCGCTTTCTTGGCAGCCATCCCTCGATGTTGTTACACGGAGAGTCCGTGATCCAAAGTGCCAATAATAATAAATATTCATCGACTTATTCTCGGAAACAATATCGAAAGAAACGCGTAAAATAATATCGATCCTTATATCACTTAGCTTCTAAACTGTACTGTGTGCATTGTAAAAAAATTTTTATTTTAATAATCTTATTAATAATCTAACAATCTCATTCTAATTTTACAAATATACCAATTTCTAAAAATTTTAACTATAACTATAAAAAATTATATGAGAATGTATGTATAAGATAAGTGAAAAATTGAAAATGCAATTATATGAAAGGAAGTTGTTACATACGCCGATATTTATTATTAAGGCAAGTATACTTTCCGATATTTTGGGGTTCAATCGAACCTTCCATCTGAAAAAGAGTCAGTAATCTGAGAAACGGGCAAATCGGGCCCGGCGAGTCGCGAGAACAATGCGAGGCCGCAATTAATAGAGCCCGTAATCGGATGCACCCTGCGCTCTCTATGCAAATTTCGATCAGACACGGTTTTAGAGATTCGCCTTGGCCCTTCTCGTGCGTCAACAATGCGCCGACTTCGCCGACAATGGGAAATAATAAACCGTGATAAATAGCTGAGCAAATACATGTCTGCTATTGCTCTCCGTCTCTCTCCTCCGCCTGTTCTCAATTCCAGGTGTGGCCGCTCGAATTCCAAAATAAATATGCTCGGCAAATACACGGGGTGGCCCGTGCCGGAATAAACGAATACCGGTATTAATTTCCCCGCTTACGCTGAAAATATACCTAACTCGATTTGTCGCACCGAATGGAAGAAAACGCGAAACATTAGCTCGTTGTTGCACATACAGCTTTAAATGGCCGGCCGCTAAAATCGACTTTTGATACCATGGTTCTATTATTTATTATTCTATTAAAATGCAAAATAATTGTCGTAAAATAGTTTATAATATAATTATAGCAATTCTTTTTAGAATCTTTTATTTATTTGAAAAAAACAACCAATTTTACTTCCTTACTAATAATAAATAACATTTATCTACAACTAAAGATATATTATATATTAATAAAATTATGACATAACGTACGTCCAGATTTTGGTGCATTCAAATCGGGCCAGGTGACCCCGTCGGGCTAAAATCCGTCACGAGACGGTTTTAGAGAGCCGAAACTTGAAGAGGCAGCACTAATCAAAAGTGGTCCACGGAGACAGATTGAGGGGCGTGCTGAAATAAATCAGTCTTTTGTTTTACAGCCCTAAAACGGCCGTTGGGAATATATACAGCGCGCGAAATGACGTCCATTCATTAAAACGCCCCAGCTGCGAGATCGAAAAAGACTCCTGGTGCCGATTCAGCGGCTCCGGACAGCGCGATTAAATAATCTCGGCCATTGTGACAGAGTCATTATTTGCTACGTACACTTATTTATTGCTCTCGTATGCATACATGTAAATTTTATTGCATGCAGCATAATGTTGCACCTGGGCTTTAGCAATTTGGAAAGGAACGCGAATAAATATTTTGAAATAAAAAATAGTTAATGGTATCAAATAGTTGTCTATATAATAACTGCTCTTGAAATTGTTCTAAGATAGAGAATCGATTTCCGAGATTTGTTTGATAATCTATTCTTAAAATTAAAGTCAGGTCTTCTGACTTTGAATATCTTTACTTTTTCAAAATAATATATTTTCTCTTCTTTCACAATGTACATATTCCGTAGGCAAAACATAAAGTAAAACCTTACAACCAGCTTGTGATTGCATTTGTTGCCCTCATTTGTTGCCTCGTTAAGAATCCGGGTTCAGTTATGTGGAGCGAAATTAGCAAGCAGAGATAACGCGAGTTGTATCTGAACGCGCGCGGCGGGACGAGTGGGTAAAAAGAAGATGCTTTCTTAGCGGAGAAGACAGTCTGTGGACTCTGACACAGCAGCCCGTAGATACGCGGTACTCGCAAGATCGTCTTCGCCGCCTCTCGCCAGTCGCCGGAATTGTTATCGCGAATATTCCAAGTTCAAATTGTTATTGCAATTGTGCGTGCGTCGATCTTCTCGCTCGATATTGCGATACAACCGACACAAAAAGCAGCTTGATTGTGATATAACGTCGGCATATCTGAAGCTGTTAACCCTGAGTATATCTGAAGCTGTTAACCCTGCTCTCCAAATATTTCTGTCACGGAGAAAAAAACGTCTTGAGTTTGATTTACTCACTCGCTATCGCGAATTTATCTAAAATATTTTAATTTTTTATAAATACCTTTCCAGGAATATCTATCGGAATATATCTCGAAACCATTTGTTCAATAATTGTCCTAATAAAGAATTATTTTTGTTATCTTAATTAGAAAACATGTTTAAAATGCGCAATTCAATTTAGCGCAACAATAATTGCTTAAGCTGCGATCGTTGCGTGAGTAACATATAAATATAGCTCGTAATCGTAATCTAGACACTGTTAATGAGATCTTATGAATCATGTATTCTATATATAGAAGACATCGGACTTATATATGCTACAATACATTCGAGTCTGCTGTTTAATTGGGTTTTCAATCTAAGAAACATTTAAAAATAATATTTTTTATTTTTAAGATAAATATTTTATTCTTATTATTTGTATTTCTTTCTATTTTAATTTTTAATTTATCACTGGTAAAATAATCAAATTGGAACTATTAATTCTTGTATTATTGCACTTTATACAAAGATAATTATCAAAATGTTTGAGAACAATCTCTTTCTAATTTTAACATGTTGTATAATTATTTGACAGCTAATATTTTCCGATTGTAGTCTTTCGTTTCTTAAATATCGATAATGTCTATCAGTGAAATCGTAGTGCGTGCAAGATGAAGAGGTGTGAAGTATAATTATTGCGCGGGCGCGGGTCAATAATTCGTGCCACGTTGCCTGGCGACGGTATTCCTACTCTGAACCTCTGGAACAACCGGCGCGAAGTGCTCCTCTCTTCCTTCTCCAGCTGTCCAGACTCCAGACAGAAGCCGACCAGCCTACCACACAGCGCTACCGAGAGCGAAGACGAAGATCTTGTCTTCCAACTTCGGCGGCTGACTCCTCACAGTGTCATCAGTGTCCGTTCGTGAAGAGAACCAGGTATTAAGTGTGACTCGCGCTTGATCTTTTTTTCTTTCGTCCTTTAAAATCTATGCATTTGAAACCGCGTCGACTGTCTGATGGGGGGAGAAACACGTGACGAGAGAGAAACAGAGAGTGTGCAACATATTCTGCATGCGCGAGAATTGTTTCGATAATCGTCGCACGTGCTATTTCCTAGAATCACAACTGCATTGCGGTTTACGAAGTGGAGGTATCGATGTAACAGTATATTCTCTGATATTAATTAATTTATTAATTTAATACAACAATGTAATTTTTGAATCGATTTGAAGTAGCACGTAAATAAATTAAATGTTATTTAATATTATAAAATTGCTTCAACGAAAGTGTGATTTGCTCGTCGGCAGCGACAATTCATTCAATCACCATACATTACAACTAGTTTCCTGTTACAAATTAACAGAAATAAGTACTTGGAAAAATGTATGCCTCGCTCTTTAAAGAATTATTAAATCCTTCGAAGATCTTTTAAATTAAAGGCCTTTAACACCTTATGCAACGAGCTATTAAATAGAATAATTATTTATACGTGTGTCTTTTATAAATTCATTTTGATAATTTCAAATAAGATTAAAAAGGCAAAATAATTAAAAAATAAAATTAATTCTGTTGTTTGCTTGCAGAACTGGAAGCGGTGGTATGTGGAGAAAAAAAGATGAGCCGACGAAAGATGCGTCGCCAAACGATGGACCACTTATAAAAAATTTCATGAAATTCGTGTCTGAACGTTGGTTATCATTGAAATTGTCATTTAATAACAATTTCGAAAGACTATTTGGCTTTAAAGTAAACGATTTGTCGAGTTTAGAGAAATTTACTCAGTTCCTATATCGTCCGACGGATCCAGCCAGTCTAGGAGTAGCCAGAGCTTTATTTGGTAAGTTAACTTAATAATTGTATTATTACGTAATTCATATAATATAGCATTGACGTTAAGATTGAAAGAATCTTTTTGTGAGTTAATTTTTCACAAATCAACACATTGGCTCATCGCTGTTACGATACAGTTTAATCCTACTCATCGCAACACTTTATAAACGGAGCGAAGAATTTGAATTGTAAGAACTAGACACGATTTAAGACCTATTAAAGCAGTCATGAGAATTAATGGCTCGAGCCAATAAAAGCACGACCGTGATTCTATACCGCCCGTAGAAAAAGTGTATTACTTACGAACGTCTTTATCTTCATAACGTTTGTGCAGTGTGCAATCAAGTTTGATTAAATATTTTAAATAGTTGACATTTAAAGCCATTTTAAAGCACAGAAAAATTCTTTTATACATTTATAAAGCAATTTAAATCACAAACAGTCCCAATCTAGTTTCCGATGTATTCGTAGAATTTCAGTAGTACATCCTAATAATTCAGTGACAAATCTTTCTCCAGGTCTGTGCATGGTGATAGACGTCGTCGAGGAGAGAGGATTCGCAGACGTCGACATAAAATGGGGAGATCCGTGGGACTGTCACTTCCCATTGATCCACGGGATGAAATCACCATCGCTGCCGTGGATGATAATGATATACACGGTGATGTGGATAGGTGCCTTCGGAATCGCGCTCGGTCTGCATTTCAAGATCGCGTGCGCCTGTTTCGTGTTGCCTTATTGGTATATCTTCTTGCTAGAAAAGAGCTACTGGAACAATCATACCTATCTCTACGGCATCGTCGCCACTTTGTTCTGGGGAACGGAAGCAAACAAATATTTGTAAGTCAAATATCTGTATTTTCATAATTCTCCTAAACACGCATATTAGTCGCCAGTGAAATTTAATGTGCTATCGTTAGTGCGTTAGATGCAAGTAATGCTACACGAGATGGGGACTCCGTGCCGTACTGGAATTACTTTATCTTGAAATTTCAATTCTTCGCGCTTTACTTCTTGGCCGGCTTGAAGAAGTCCGGCAGAGAATGGCTCGAAGGTTACTCTATGATGAATCTGTCTAGACACTGGGTGTTTTATCCATTTAAGTAAGTGGAATTCACATTATTCGAAACCAAAACAAATCTCGTATTCTAGCGAGCAAAGTTTCACTGTTGTAAAATAAAAACAGGATTGTTTCCGACTGACGAGTATATCTACGAGAAAAATGCTTTCTTTTAGAATATTTCTGTCTACTGAACAGATCGACTTTCTAATCGTCCATTGGTTCGGCTTTATCTTCGATCTGTCCGTCGGATTTTGGATGCTGCTCGAGAAAACACGTATACCCTCCATGGTATTCTGCACAGCTTTTCATTTTATGAACTCAAGACTATTTAGCATAGGTAATTATTATTTAAAACAAACAGAAATTTTGGATAACACTTGATAAGAATATTCGAAGATTTTTTGTGCCCTATTCTTTATACAAAATTTTGGAAAAGGCTTCAGAGAAAAGATCTTTTCAGGAATGTTTCCATATGTGTGCCTGACAACAATGCCACTCTTTTGTCGCGTAGACTGGCCACGTAGATTAGGATTGTACTTTAGACGAAAGCAAAAGATTTTATCGGTTAATGCAAATTTAATCGACGCAAATAATGAAAGAGAGACTGATAGTCAAGCAGAAGAATCTATGAAGCCCAACTGCTTAGTATTGCCTTCAAATGAGATCTCGTATAATGAAGCGATACATAAAGGTAATAATAATTTTTTTTGAACAATAATAATTTAATACAAGCTTAAAAATATTTACAACTATTTTCAGAGAAAGCAACGAGCGAGGGAAAAAATGAAAATTATTCTGTTAAATCAAAATCTGAAAAGAAAACCGACAAAAAAGATAACGATACACAATTATCTAACAATTCAATTAAGCCTAATGAAAAAGAAACAACAAGTATTTATAAAAAGGTTCAGATAACTCGGCAATCGTCGAAAGCTACGAGGAAACAAAAATTTGTAGCGTCGCTATTGCTGTGCCATGTTGTATTGCAGTTTTTTCTGCCGTACTCGCATTTCATATCGAAGGTATCAAGCCCATTAACAATATTATTATTACATTATATTGTATCTCACTGCAGTATTCACACAAATAGTAATCGTATTTTTAAAATGTGGCGATACATTTATTTTCACACTTAAATTAATTCTGCAAAATTACACACAATACGTAAAAGTACTTTAATGCAAGTTTGTATAAATTTACATAAATCATCGTATGATCGCCATATCTATAATGAAAATAAAACGTTCTGTACTTCAGGGCTATAACAATTGGGTACCTGGTCTATATGGTTATTCCTGGGACATGATGGTTCATGCCTGGGACACTATACTCGTAGTGATCAAAGTGCACGATAACGCGAACAACGAGATACGATATTTAGATCCTGACGCATGGGTGCAAGGAGATCGATGGCTGAAGCACGGAGACATGGCGATACAATATTCGCAATGCTTAAAGGTTTTTAAAGTGCCACAAATAAATAAGTGCCTAAAATTCTTAATCATTTTCTTTCTTATATGCCACATTGTTACATAGCTATTTATGAAACGATTTATCTCGTTAATCTAATATCGAATTTGTCTGTGTGTAAATTTAGGATAATCTGATGCATCGAAAAGAGAAAGGATTGAGGATCAATCATCAGTCTGAGGATAAAGAAAAGTGGACAAAACTATCTACGAATTTAAGCATTTACATGGACGTGTGGTGTTCGCTAAATGGCAGATTTCAACAGAGAATATTTGACCCGAACGTCGATATGCTGACAGTCGACTGGCATCCATTTAAGCCCGTTTCGTTCCTGATGCCGTTACTCACGCAGTATAATTCGTATCGGTATGTATATTTGTATAATCATTAAATTAATTTATTAGATATAATATGAGATTAATATTCGCGATCAAATATATCGTCAAAAGTTATGAAGAATAATTAATAACTGGCAACTATCTCGATTGATCAAGAGAACTTATGGAAAATTATTTAAAATTTGTTATTAATTTAATAATAGCTATACGTTTATTTTCTTAGTCTAACAATTCTATTTTTTATCGTTTTCAGACATAAAATGGATGAAATTGAGCAGCATGTATTCACTTGGTCCAATTACACGGATGTGTTGTTCGTGGCCGATTTTCCAGGAATGTACTTGGAAAATTACATATCCACCGATTTCGCGAACGTTTCTTTAACGGTGCTGGAAGGTGAAGTAACTTTCAGTGAAGAAAAATCGATGGATGTGATCACTGTGTCAAAGAAAAAATCAATTCCTGTCGAAACAGGGAGGTTTCATCGAATAAAGACTATGAGTTCTTATCCTGCATGCTACATGTACACTTATACGAATCAAACGAAACAATTGGATAGCGAAAGGTAAATACCGTATTATGTAAATATATGTATTATACGATATATATATATATATATATATATATATATATATATATATATATCGAAGTTAAAATATAGAACATTTTTATTTAAATTTTTTAGTAAACTACTACTATTCAATATATGTCATATTCATAAAAATTAAAGTTTTGGTATGTCCTGATTCAATACAACAAATTCTACAAATTTTTATACAATGTTCATAATATATAACTTATATTTTATACTAAATAAAATAAACAAAACTTCTATACATTAAATTAAAAAATTCTGAAGTCAAATCAATTTCTTATAAAAATCATACACTTTGTCTCCTTTTTTCAGAAGAGAACCTCCTCCAGTAATAGAAGACACGCCACGATTATTAAAAGAAATTAATTATAAGATTCTTGCATGGATAAGAACATTCGTCCATATAATAAATGCCTTCTTAAACTTGGTATATGACGTTCCTATGGTACGACGAGTGCGTATTAATAATGAATGAAAAAAAAATAAAATTACATCTTTACTTGTCTCAATACATTTTATTTTTGTTAGCATCTTTTCAGGACTTGTATTATATTTTGAACGCATATTAATTTATATTAGACTTTATTATCAAAGCTTAGTAATTTGAAAATTCAATAAATTTTCAACAAAAAATTTGCAATAAATGAATTTATGGTTAATATATACAATTAATTTATCTCGGTTGTATTTTCAAAATTACAGTTCCTTACAGTTTATAAATATGTTTTTAGAGCATTAGAAAAAGAATCTACATACTATATTTTTAATTGAGATAATTCATTATCTTCATCTTTAATAATTCTAGGAAAAATTATTTATTTATATAAAAATATATACAATTGTTTAAAAGATATACCTATATAAAATATACGCATATACATATATACATGTATAAAATAATATACAATACATGTATATACATATATATATATAATTGTTATCAGTAGAAAAATGATAATATAGCAAAAAAGTTATTTTTATTATTTTTATATTATACATAATACCATGTGATAAAATACAGTATCTAATTGTTGCAAATTAATGTGATAATCTATTGTAACTTAAAATAGAATTGCTAGACTGATATTTGATCAATTTCAGTATCTAACTCAGCAACTTAAAAATAAATTACATAACTATTTTGTAAATGTACTATAAACGAAATGTTTTATATTGTTAACAAATTATTTAAATTTTTTTCAAATATTACTGCACGCAGTCTTGTAGACCACAGATTAATTAAATGTTAAGCGTCATTGTAATTTAGTCTCAATCTTTGTACAACTTACAATTATACAATCAACAATAAAAATATTATTATGCCTCTCCCCCTGCTCTCGATCTTTCTTTTACTTCAGGAAAAGCAAATCAGAAAAGAAGTTATAAAAGATCTGATTTTATGTCTTCTCCCTTCTTTCTCTTTTTTTAAATATTTAAATATTAATACGTAATACTTATAATAAATATAGAATTTTCTAAAATATTTGATAATTCTATAGAATTAGATAATAAATATAGAATTTTCTAAAATATTTGATAATTTTGTATAATTCTAAACAGGGAAAACATCGAACGCAAAAAAACGTTTATCAAATAAATGAATTAAATTTTGAATGCCAAATGGTTTATCGTTCTTTTATCTTTATTTCTGTTTCAGAAAAATTATGGGTAGTGTATGAGCAAGAAAATGTTGGAAAGAAATTAAAAAACGGATGATGGAAAAGGTCTTAAATGGAAAAATTAAAAGAAAGAATCTTATAAGAAAATAAAAATATCCGTGGAGTGATTAAGGAGAAAAAGGAAGGAAGAATGAGAAAGAGAGAAAGAGAGAGAGAGAATGATAAAGAGAGAATAAATTGAATGAAAATAACACAATAAATATAATTACCGATTTTGAATTACATTTTATGTCGGTAACTCATCTAGTAATGCCAATAATGTCGGTGTATAATGATAAAGCTGACTATCGGTAATGTAGGAATCAATAATGTTTAACTTATAAAATTTGCAAGGCATCGAAGGATATACGCATATTACAGTACATACAAGATATAACTATAATTAATATATTAACGCTTGTAATTTTTATAGTAAACTTTATTAAATTTTGTATTAATTTGGTAATGTCAAAATTACCGACATTAGAACTTTACTGATCGTTACTGCTTCGCTAACCATAAAAATTTGAATCTTCTAAATTGATAACTAAAGCAGAGAGAAACCTGAGAGAGGCCATCCCGACCTTTTTCGTGTGTTGCATTTTCCGACGCGCCGCCTGAGAAAGTGCAACTCAACTACGTCGTTTCGGAGCAACGAACTAATAACTTTCCATATTAAAAATCGTTACGACTCCCCGCCGCGCCGGTACGAACGTATTTTTTAACGGTCACCTGACGCGAGGAACAGCGAAAAAGGCCGAAATAGCGATCGTATCCAACCACATGGAAATGCGGTATATAACATCGTAAAGTATCAAATATTTAATAAAATCAAAGCAAAATTTATAAACAAATTCTTCAGAATATATAATTTTTTATCTTGCGTATTCCAACTAATAACGAATTACGATAATTAAAATTACAAAATTAAGATTACATTTTTCAAAATTATTACATATTTCGTATCTCATAATTTTAAAAAATATAATCGTAATTTTATAATTTTAATTTTCAGATAAATGTCAAATTTTGCAACCAAGAAGCTATTATTTGAGCGTTGATTCAAACCTTCACATCTATGTGAAATTTATAATAATTAACGATAATTTTTAAAATGTGAAATTCTATAGATAAAGAATAAACACCGTTATTATCTTAATCGTCTTCTGTTGATTTCGTATAATATATCCGGCATTAGTATCATACAATTTCAAATTTATTACAATTTTTCTTATAATTCCTTATTACAATAATTTTCTTATAAATAATGTTACATATGGAGGGGTAAAAGCCATAGTGGTGTAAGTCAAATTTTTTAAAATATTGTCTTGTATGCATAGATGCAATTTATATATTGTATAGATTGCATCTATGCACACGAGTCAATATTTAAAAAAATTTGACTTATACCACTATGGCTTTTACCCCTTTATATAATTAACAGTACGAGTTACAATCCCTTCGTGTTCCTACCTACCCGAAGTAATATCTCTATGCATGTATATATTTTCCGCCTATCCATATTTTTATATCTTCATATACCTACCTAATATTTCATATTCCTACCATATTTTTATTTACCTAACGCGTTATTCCTGGCCCACCCGAATTTATTAGTTTATTTAGTTTATTATTATTAATTTATTTTATCAATATTAATTAGTCGCGACCGCGATACCCGAAATTAAAGAAGTAAAGATTTTTAAAAGAAGTTTACAAAATTTTAAGTTCGCGATTAATTGAGATTAAGCTGGAGACGTCACTTTCCCGTCTCCGATTACGCGTACACATGCGTAAAAAATATTACCCTCCCTGTATGCACATTATACACTAAATTGGTGGTGTTCAACACCAACCTACCTTGTGTAGATCTTCTCTCCTTTGACCAGTTTGACCATACCACTTCATGGCCAAATCCATTCTGGCAAAGCCAGAAACAAGAAGAAGGAATACACCTTCCGTTGCCGCCTAATCATAGACGACAGATGAGCGTAATGATTTTACGCTTTTTCCCACGATGCGCGAAACACGACCGCGTCACGAAGGACCATTTGTAACAAAATTAAATTAAGTAATTTTAAAATTACTACAGCGTTCAAAATCTACTTATTATCGTATAAACTATAATTTACGCAAGTGATCATTTTCTCGATTAAGAACAAAAAAGATTTTAATTAGTTAGAGGAGCTGTTAATTTGGAAAAAACCTTTTAATCAACCGCGTATGTAATCCAAATAAATTCGACTACATTTTACGAATAATAGGAACTTTAATTTAAATCTGATATAAGTATGCAGGACTTAAATAAAAATGCAAAATGTAAATGAATAACAATATTGACTAAACTGAACGGAAACTGAAAAAATATAAGGCCCATTTTTTTCGATATCGTTTCGCATATCGAGTCTCACCTCAAAAGGATGAGAAATAAAGAATTAATGACGTGAGATCCGAAAGAGATAATCAAGTTCCTGCACAATATTGAGCTAATGTGAATACATTATGCACTCGAGCAAAAAATTTAAATTTTGATAGTTACATCTTATTACGATAATTATACTATACTACTTAAAAATCAAGTATTTATATTAACGCGAAATTAAGTAATCAAGTTTAAAATAATTGTTACAAAAAATTTTCTGTTTTGCAAAACATTATTTATCAGATCTCACGTCATATCGCTTTAACTAGTATAAAAACCAGTTATCAATACATATGAATAGACTGTAAAAGCTTAGGCTAAAATTGGTGCGTTATAGGAACAAATAATTTTAAATAATGATCGTGAACACACAATTTTGTTAAATGGATTACGTAAAAAATATATTAAATAGATTGTACAATTGTACATACATAACAATAAATGATTAAAATAATGCAAAGTACTTTTTATCTTCAATCGTTATGCAGGTTAAAAGCATCTCTAAGCGTACATATTGCATTCTTGCACCAATTTATGTAACACTTAATCCTGAAAGATATTTGGGATGGAATTTACAATGACAAAAAGTACGACAAATCAATTTATGTGATTTATCCAGGATTAAATGTTAAATCCTAATCTGACCCAGGCATTCCATTTTAAGACAACGAATCTATGAAACGTAATATATGTAATAATTTATTGTGATAACTTGACTCTGCAATATATTTGACGTACTCGTCATAAATTCGTTACCTTCAATCATGAAATTTTAATCATCACTCACCGACCGATGCGCAACAGCGGAGTTATTCTGCAACGTCGCTACGATGATTCTGTAACAAACAAATGTAGAATCCGAATTAAAGCAGGGTGCAAGAGAGAGAGAGACAGTCAATATTTCAAAAAATGATTACTACATAAACACTAAATTTTATATTATTGTTTATTAAGCAAATTTAATGAAATAATTTTGTAATTTCTTAAGAATACTCTATCCATTGAACATAAGCTTCTATAGAATTTCTAAAATAAAACTATTTTTCTCTAACTTTTATTTTCTAAATAACTATCCGGTTAAAAAGTAAATGACCCATCAGTATAAGATATAATATGTGTATATGTATAAATAAAT